AAGCCCATTGCTTCTGACACTATGTGCTGGGCAGCTCCAGGGAGCGCTGTTCTCCACGCCCGTCATCCTAGACCTGTGTGGTCTTTACAACAACTTTCCAGCAGGGGGCAGCAGAGCTTCTTGAGGAAGGAAGCCCTTTCTCCCCAGGAAGTCACTGCTGGGCTAGGAGCTGGGCGGCCCACAGACCGTCTTTCCACCAGGGCACACCCGTGGCCACCGGGTTGACACTGACTCATGGTGGCTCCACGTGTGTCAAAGAAGAACTATGCTCCATCTTTTTTTTTAAGTTCAAATGTACTTTATTTCGTCAGTAATGCAGTATTTTAATGGGTACCCTGTGATTTTACTTGGCATCAATTCGAAGCTGGTTTTGAAACAATTCCGTGTTAGACCATCAGCCGGTTTGGTGATTGATCTTCCCATTCCTTTGGGGTGACTCTGCCAACAGGGGCGGCTTCTATTCTAGTCCAGTTGTGTTGCTGTGTATGTCCATACAGTGACACAGAGTAGCTCCCCCACTAATCCAGCACCACCGTATCTGTCAAGAACATCAGGTGCACATTTCTGGTGGCTCTGCCTTGCCCTGGTTTGCCGAATGCTTCAAACTTGAAGACGACTTAGTGCGTTCCTGGCCAAGGGAAACATGGTGAAACAGTAAACAGAACTGTGGCGGCTAGTGGCGATTTCACATCTGGTACCCTTGTAAAGACTCCGTAGGTCTTTCGATGGTTGATTTGTTTGGAAGGAGATCACCAGGTCTTTCTTCTGAGGCACCTCTGAATGGCCTCGAACCTCCACCCTTTCAGTTAGCAGACAAGCACACTGACAGTTGCACCACCCAGGGACTCCTTTGGGCAGGGCAGGAGTCTAGTAAAGTTCCCTGCTATGGGCAGGCTTCTGCCCGGGACCAGTATCAGGAGGCCTGATCTCCAGTCCAGTCCTGCCCCCACCTTGCATGGTCCTGGGCTGGTCACTTCACTTTCTGTTGAGAAGGAAGGGGTGTCGAGAGGCGGCCATGATATCGGAAGAGGCTCCTGGGATAACCAGAGCACGATTGCAGCGGCCAGTGTCTGGGAAGGAATTACAGTATAAATATTGAAGGAGAGCAATGACGGGAATGTGTCAGAGGAGGGAACCTTCTAGAAGCAGCAAGTGAAGGACCCCCTCTAAAGCCAGAGAAGTTTTCCAGATGGCTCTTGGCTTGCGCTGGTTCCTGGCTGCGTCTCACTGAAGCCAGGCCTGATTTCCCCCGGGGGTTGTCACTTGTTTGTCTCGGGGTCACATGACATCATTCCTGGGCCCCTAGGAAGTGGGAGGTGCTCTAGCCTCTTCCCTGCCCTAGGGACCTTCACAAAAGGCTGGGGTGAATGCTGGTGGGATGAGGGGTGACCCACAACCTTGGGAGCAGAGGCTGGGGTGGGAAGGACTTGAAACAGGGTCTGTCCTGGATGCAAGTCTTTCTGGGCTTAGTGCTAGATGACAGCAATGCTGCCACTACCGGCCCCACCTCCTGCACCCCTTGTCCCTTACCAAGTGCACGCTGTGTGCTGGACACGTCCGACACCTCACATGATGAGGTTACAGTCTCCCATAACCATCTTGTGAGGTGATGTTATTATCGCTACTTGACAGATAAACCGAGCGAGTCTTGGTGAGGCCAAGTAATGTTCCGTAGCACGTGGGGTTCAAGGCCGGGGCTCTGGCTCCAAAGTCCCCTGTGGGGTGCCTTGGCGAGCCCTCCACTGTTCAGTTGTTGTTGTTATTGTGTGCCATCAAGTGGGACCAACTCATAGCGACCCCTCCTTGGGTTTCCGAGGCAGTATCACTACGGAAGTAGATTGCCCCACCTTCTTTCCGAGGAGTGGCCGGTGGGTTTGAACCGCCAGCCTTCTGGTTAGCAGTCAAGTGCCTGTTCAGAGTGAGTCTTAAAACCCGTTGTCACTGAGTCAGTTCCGACTCACAGCGCCCCTAGAGGACAGACTGGAACTGCCCCACAGGGTCTCCAAGGTTGTCCGTCTTTGTGGAAGCAAAGCCCAAACCACACCCAGTGCCATAGAGTCTATTCCGACTCACAGCACCCCTAGAGGACAGACTGGAACTGCCCACAGGGTCTCCAAGGTTGTCATCTTTGCAGAAGCAAGGTCCATATTAAACCCACTGCTGCCAAGTCGATTCTGACTCACAGCACCCCTATAGGACAGAGTAGAACTACCCCACAGGATTCCCAAGGCTGTAAATCTTTACAGAAGCACTGCCTCATCTTCCACAGAGCAGCTGGGGTTTGAACAGTCAACGCTTCAGTTAGTATTTAACCACGACTCAACCAGGGCTCCTTATAGTAGGTCTTCACTTAAAAGAAAAAAAAAAAAAACCACACTCACTGGCGCTGAGTTGATTCTGACTCATAGTGACCTCCATTGGGTTTCTGAGGCTATAAATCTTTACAGAAATAGATTGCCCCATCTTCCTTCTGTGGAGCAGCTGGTGGGTTTGAACTTCTAACCTTCTGGTTAGCAGTCAAATGCCTATCCCCTATGCCACCAGAGCTCCCTAGAGTAGGTGTTAGGGGCTGCATTTCCAGCATGAGTCCCCCTGCTCACCCTGGTGGTGGCAACCATATCCGCCAAGGCTTCCTAATCTCTTGAACCAGCTGGGACTATGCTAGATAAGGGTCTGTCACTCCTGGTGGGGGCCAGCAGCTTTGGCCCTGTTCACGGGGATGGCTGGGAGCTGGAGGGCAAGTGGAGCCCTGGGGAGGCAGGTCTGTCCCCTGTGATGCTCAGCCAGAGAGAAAGCTGTGAGCGAGACCACCTTCCCCCACCTGGCTGAGCCATGTTGGATTGGCCTCCGTAAGCTGCCTTAGGGCTGTCACACACAAAGTACCGCAAGCTTGGGGGCCTAAAACAACAAGAGTTATTCTCTCACAGTCCTGGAGGCCAGAAGTCTGAGCTGGGGTGTTCCTCCAAAGGCTCTAGAGGGGGACCCTTCCTTGTCTCCTCCCCCTTCTGGTGGCCCAGGTGACCTTGGCTGGTGGCAGCATCACTCCAAACTGCACTTCCATCTGCACACAGGCATCTTCTTTCTGCACACTCTGTGCCTCTTCTCCTCTTCCTATAAGGACACAAGCCGTATTAGATTAGGGCCCACCCTCATAAACCCCCTCTCAATTAATTAAGGGGCACCCTTCAATGAGATGGATTGACATAGTGGCTGAAACAGTGGGCTCAAGCATGATGACAGTTATGAGGATGGGGCAGGACCAGGCCATGTTTTGTCCTGTTGTCCATAAGGTCACTGTGAGCTGGAGTTGACTCCACTGCACCTAACAATAACCTTCAACAACAGCAACTTAATTCCATCTGCAAAGACTGTATTTCCAAACAAGGCCACACTCGCAGATGTGGGGGTTGGAGGTTTAGGACTTCGACAGATTTTGAGGACACACACAGTTCAATCCATGGTGGCCTTTAATCGGGGGCTCTCCAGGGGCTAGCTAATCACCCACAGGGGACATCTCAGCCTGTCTGCAAAGACTTCTCCTGTCCCATCTGCCTGCTCAGCATAACCCCTCCCTTCCCGAGCTGACCTGGTCTTTTCGTTTTGGGCACAGAGGGTCATGCCATGTGGACATATAGTCTGGCCTGGAGGTTTAGACGTGGAACAGTGAACAGGCATGGCATTGCATGACAGGGGGGCCGTGCTCAGAGGCCTGGAGGGAGCCCGGGGGCAGGGGTAAGAGACCCGCCCTCATTGGTGGACTCCACAGACACAGATTGAGCTACTGGGCCACAAAGTCAAGTCACACAAGCTCCTTCCGTCACGGAGCCCCCAGACCAGTGTGGGAGACAGAGCATCATCCGCTGGCAGGTCGTTTTCAGGGTGCTGGATGGAACTGCTCGGAGCCACCACTGGCCAAGGACATGCGCTTTAGATGGTGCTACGGTTGGTGCCAGCAGACAGAACTGACTCATTCAGACTGCGGTGTTGGTGAAGAATCTTGAATATACCATTGGCTGCCAAAAACCGAACAAATCCCTCATAGAAGAAACATATCCAGAATGCTGCTTAGAGAAAAAGATGGTGAGACTTAAGCTCCTTTACTGTGGACATCAATCCGGAAACCAGTCAGGGAAGACCAGCCACTGGCAAAGGACGTAATGGTTGGGAAGGCGGAGGGTTGGTGAACACAGAGGAGACCCTCATGAGGTGGGTTGACACGTGGCCGCAGCGTGGCCTCAAACACACCAGCGATCATGCAGGTGGTGCAGGCCAGGCGGCGTTTCATTCGGTTATCCCTAAGGTCGCCACGAGTCAGAACCAAGTCAACATCAACTAACAACAAGCAACGCTATTGTTGGTGCCACTGCCTTCCCAGATAAGCCTCTGCCAATCTTCAGGGTGATCTGGGCTACGCTGTGTCCCCTCTCAGGGCCTCATTTCTGCCATCAATGAATAAAAACAAATGTTTGTGATCTTTATGGTAAAATGCTTCATGGAGACAATCGTGGTACAAGGAGGGGCTGGTGACGAGTCTCTCTGGGGACCAGAAGGGTCAGGGAGGGCTTCATTAGGCACGTGTTTCTTGAGAAGAGACGGGACTGGATGACAGCTCTCTTAGGAGGGGGCACAGCCCGGTTACTGAGGGCCCTCCCAGCATCTGCATACCCCTTGGGACAGACTGCTCTGCACACCATCGAAGCCCAGCTGCCCGTGTGTCACGGGACCTTCCACTCCTGTGTCCCCCCCCTCCCCCCACAGCCAACCAAGTTCATGGTGGGTACCGAACAGGGCATCGTCATCTCCTGCAACCGCAAGGGCAAGACGCCCGCCGAGAAGATCGTGTGCACCTTCTCGGGCCACCACGGCCCCATCTACGCCCTCCAGAGGAACCCCTTCTACCCCAAGAACTTCCTGACCGTTGGGGACTGGACGGCCCGCATCTGGTCTGAAGACAGCCGGGAGTCCTCCATCATGTGGACCAAGTAAGTGCGGAGGTGGGGCATGGGGTGCAGATGGGGGGGGTCCATCATAAAACAGAGAATCACTCCGCCCTTTCCAGCCCATCTACAAACACCGGACCTTGCGGTCATTAACCAGTTTGCAGAGTAATAGCTCGGTGCGGAGGTTCTGGGTGGAAGTGGAACCCTTGCTCAAAACTTTTGGAGCCCTCCTGACATGCTTGGATCCTGCAGGTGACTGCAGGCTGCCGGGTTGCGCTGAAGGAGAGAAGAAGGTGTGAGTGTTGGGTGAAGCGCTCTCTCCCTGGGCCTTTCTCAGGACTTGCCCCTAGGGGGAGCTGGGGAGCCCGTGCTCTGTGGCCCGGGTTCTCCCTGCTCCGGCCTGCGTAGAGTTGAACACGTTTGTCAGGTACATAGGTTGGCTGTGAGCCAGTTCCACTTGACAGCTCCTAACAGCAACAGCAGGTGAAAATGCAGGACGCCCCGTCAAATCTGAATTTCATGCAAACAGTGATTTTTTTCAGTATAAGTATTTCCCACGCAATATTTGGGCCACACTTACACTAAAATAGTATTTGTTGTTTGTCTGCAAATGAAATTGGATGGCTGCCCTGTGGTTTCCTGCACATCCCTACCCCAGGGCATCCCCTCAACCTACGTGGCCTCTTCTTTTAGAGAGACCTGAAAATCTCAAGGCCTGTAACTCAGAAATCTCTGGAAGGTTCCATTTTTTTTGATCTCTTCTCCCACTTTGGCCTGGCTGTCGACAAGCCTAGTGTTCTGGTTCCCTAGTGCCACTCTGACAGGAATCTACCACAAATGGGATGGCTTGAAGAAATGGAAGTTTATTCTCTTACAGTTTGGGAGGCTAGAAGTCTATGTTCAAAGTGCCAGGGTCTAGGGACTGGGAGAAAGCCCCTCAGCCTTGGGCTTCAGCTCTGCCTCCTGCTCCTGGCCCACTGAAGCTAGAGGCTTTTCTTCACTCAGACAGCTGCTGGCTGCTGAGGCTGACAAGCCCAAGGTTGGCAAGTAACAAGGCACAGTCCTGATGTTACCAAACCACAGGGCAGGCCATTTATTCAAGCCCATTGAAAGTCCCAAGGTCGGCAGAGTGTGGGGGGCTGCTGAACGACACGGCTACATGCAGAGTCCAAGCGTGCCATAGGCTAGAGCCTATCCCCAAGGCTTCTCCTTATATGCAGGAAGCAGACCACATTCCAAAGGCAGCTACTCAGCTGCTTGTGGTAGATCCCACCATGGAGCTGATTGCCGATCTCATCGTGGGGAATAGCTACCTCCAGCTGCCCAGCCACTCAACCAGGCCCAGCCAAGGTGACACACAACTTTAACTACCACACCTCGTTGCAAAGGAGGCTGGGAATAGAGTCTCCGGCATGGCCGCCACAGGCCCAGCCACTGCTGTATTGCCGTGAAGGTTGCATAAAATCAGTCTCCACCACGTGTGTGTTTATTTAAAAAGTATTCCATCTTTACTGCAGAAACTTTAGAAAATCTAGATTCAACCAAGAAGGGAATATAATGCTCTGCTATTCGACGTTGTACACTTTTCTGGGCACATGCTTCCTGTAACTCCTTTCAGCCAAGCCACAGAGCTGGGGGACGGGACCTGAGCCAGCAACAACCATCTGTTCCCAGAGCTGACCAGAGCAGGGTGCTGTCCACTCAGGACTGACCTGTGGCGGCCCTGTGTGTGTCACAGGAGACCTGGGCCAAGTGGGGTCTCAATGGCTGCATTGGGAAGCAGATCACCATGTCTCTCTTCTGAGGCACTTCTAAGTAGACTCGAACCACCAACCTTTAGATTGAGAGTGTTAACTGTTTGCTCTGGAGCCCCATGGCGGGGATTCCAGCTACGGAGAAATACCAGCACTGAGCCAACCTGAGGAAACACCATCCCAAACCCAAACCAAACCTCCTGCTGTCTAGTAGATTCTTTCTCCTGGCGACCCTACAGGACAGAGGAGAACTGCCCCCATAGGATTTCTGAGACTGTAAGTCTTTACAGAAGCAGACTGCCACATCTTTCCCCCATGGAGTGGCTGGTGAGTTTGAACTGCTGACCTTTCAATTGGCAGCCAAGTGCTTTAACCACTGCACCACTAGGGCTCCTGAGACCATCCCAGAGTCCTTTAAAATGCAGCCCATGAGTGGTGGGCAGGTGAGGTTTCAATGGGTACACATCAGACATAAGGAAGAGATTCTTGCTTCTTCAGGCTTGGAGACCCTGGGGCCTGGGGTGTGAACAGAACTGTGGATATGTAGTCTCTCCTTCTGCCTGTCCCCACTGGCCTCTGACCTGTGCCCACTGCCCACAGGTACCACATGGCTTACCTTACCGATGGCGCCTGGAGCCCTGTGAGGCCGGCAGTTTTCTTCACTACCAAGATGGATGGAACCCTGGACATCTGGGATTTCGTGTTCAAGCAGTGTGACCCCGCCCTAAGCCTGAAGGTCAAGTCCACCCTCCTGTTCACCCAGGCCCTAAGTTAGCTGGGGCTTCTCTGAAGCAGGAACCCTGGCTAGGGATGCATTTGAGAGTGGTGTGCACATCTGTACATGCATGGGTTCGCATGTCGCTGGGTTTGAGGGTCTCTTGGGAAGGCCCATGCTGGCTGATACCACTGTGCCTTTGGAAGAGTTTGTTCCTAGGAAGGTGAGTGCCTTGGTCTGGGGAACTTGCACCCCTAGGGGCATAGCAACATCACCTGGGCCCCCCCCACCCTTTTTTTCCTAGTTCTCTCTCTCTTTTTTTTTTTTTATTGTGACTTAGGTGAAAGTTTGCCGAGCCAATTCATTTTCCATACAGCAGTTCGTACATATGGCATTGACTGCAATTCTCCACAATGTAACAGCCAGTTGATCTTGATGTCCCCTACAACCATGGTACTGAGCCCATAGGTCTACCTACTCGCTCTCTCCGGGTAGCCGGCTGTGGCCAAAAGTGACCACAACTTTGTCCCTTGTCAATTCTACTATACACCCAAACATTCTTATAGCACACATAAATATGCTTGTAGAAACATTGTTTGCCAGCACTACACATGGCCATGGGCACACTTCCCCCTGCCTAGACATACCTAATAGTTCAGCCTATCCACCCATCTATCCACCTGTAGATCAATGCTTACCATCACTGACGATGCAGTCCTGTACATGCAAAAGGGTTCATCTTTGTTGTCTGTACCTCCCACGTACCTCTCTCTGTCTTCCTCTTCCTCGGTGCCACCATGTTGATTGCTCACATTTGGGACATTGCTGGACCATTTTTTAAAATTAAAAAGCTGATGCTTGCTCCCCCAGCCCCCAGACCTAGTTTTCATAATCCTTGGAGTGGCCCTTACAGTGACCCTCCAAGCCTGAGTCTGTCCTGGACCCCGGGCCAGAGCTGGGATGCGCTGGTATGGGGCCATGGTGGGTGGGGTAGGTGGGAGCCTTGGGAGGCGTGTGGGGCTGGAGTGAAGGGTGGGAGGTGGGAGGTGAGGCTGATGGAGAAGAGTCTTGACCAAGATCTCAGTGTTTGACCGACCTTCCTCCTGTGGGGCACAGGCAGTCCTGAGGGCGTCTGAACAGGGCAGCTTGGCTAATCAGACAAACATAACTTTTGTCTTCTCCCCTCTCTACCCCCTCCAACAGGTGTGTGACGAGGCCCTCTTCTGCCTCCGGGTGCAGGACAACGGATGTCTCACCGCCTGTGGCTCCCAGTTGGGGACAACCACCCTGCTGGAGGTCTCACATGGGCTCTCCACTCTCCAGAGGAATGAGAAGAACATAGCATCCTCTGTAAGAGCTGATGCAGGGGCTAGGCCCCTCTGCTCATGTCTGACCCAGCCCCACGGCCGCACAGGCCACTCAGTAAACCCACGTCCCCTCCTGCCTACCTGCGGGGAGATGCATGAATGTTTCAGGGGGAATCCCGGTGGCCTGGAATCGGCATTGTTGCTGGTTGCACTGTTAGAACATGACTTCACTCAGCTGGGAGCTAGGAGACCCTGGGCAGATCTCTTCCCTCCTCTGGGCTTCAGCTTTTGGGCTCTAAAAACAAGTGGCTTCACTAGGTTAGTTTGTCTCATTTCAGACTGTACATATTGTTAGTACATTGTTAGTTGCCATCCAGTCGATTGTGACACACGACGACCCCGTGTGTGCAGAGTAGGGCTGTTCCACGGGGTTTTCAACGCTGTGACCTTTCAGAAGCCCATCACCAGGCCTATCTTCCCAGATGCCTGGATAGCTTTGAACCGCCAACCTTTCAGCTAGTAGTTAAAAGTTTAACCGTTCGCATCACCCCAGGACACACACACACATCTACGCACATGCATGTACATATATATGTGTGTATAGACGTGCACACGCACACACACACATATGCATGTATAACTTGCCCCTTTCAAACAAAAGCAGAATGCCGGTAGAGAATACCAGTGGCAGGAGCTGCCATTGCAGACTGGGCGTGGGGGGCTGCAAGTCCTGGGGACACCTCCCCGGGGCCATGGGGCACTCTGAGAACCGACAACCCCTGGTGCCCTGGTGAGGCCCTGAGAGAGCCTCCTGCCCTGCCTCGGAGTGGTCTCTCCATTGAGCTGGTGCTTTCGTGGGCCCAAGGCCGCCACGTTGCTCAGCTCCAGTCTATGTATTTGGCTTCCTTTGAATGGGGAAATCCAGTTCTGCTCCTCTTGGCTTCTGACCCCGAAATCAGCCCTGCGCACAAACCTCTTTAAGGGTTGCCTTGCATGATGCAAGGAACGCTCTGTAAAATTCCAGCCTGGCCACCATGCCGGGAGCCGCAGACTGCCCACGTTTCTCCACCGGCCTCTCTGTCCCTCTGTGCCCAGATATTTGAACGTGAGACCCGGCGGGAGAAGATCCTGGAGGCCAGGCACCGGGAGATGCGACTGAAGGAGAAGGGCAGGGCCGAGGGCAAGGAGGAGGGCCTGGTGGAGGAGGAGACTGCTGTAGACCTGGAGGAGCTGGTCTCCAAGGCCGAGGAGGAGTTCTTCAACGTCATCTTCACAGAGCTGAAGAGGAAGGAGAAGGACGTCATGAAGAAGTCAAAGCCTGTAGGGCCATAGCAGGGCCTGGCGGGCTGGGGGCGGGGAGCATAGTTCCTGGGCTCAGCTCCGCTGGCTAACTTCCAGGTGGTCTTGAACCTTGCCTAAGCCTTGAAGATGGACCTTAGTTTGTACATCTGGCAAGTGGGAGGAATTGCTCCAATCCTCCAAGACTATCCTAAGTCTCCTTGGGAACAGTCACTGGGTCCATGTTGGGGTCCATGTTTATGTTTGCCTCTCCCCATCCTGGGGGCACCATGAATGTTCATGCCAACACACTGAGTGAGGGTTTGGGGAGTAAGTGCGTTATTTGACACGAGTGAGCTTTGAGGTCCCCAGAGGAAATGGGCCATGAACACCACAGGGTGTGTTGCCCTGGCTCCCCCAGTGCATCTGTCTGCTCATGGCTCCAGCTTTGAGTCGTCTCACCTGGGCTGGCCATCTCGCTTCTTGGTTCCTTAGTTTTCCAGTGGGAAAATGAGGAGAGCTACAAAGATGGCGTCTGGCCACCTCCCAGACCCTCTTCTATCAGAGAACAAAGAAAGAAAGAATGGTGTCAGGATAGGCCACTGCCTTTAGGGACCCACAGACACGATGCCAAGATGTGAACGAGCAACAGGACAGCATGGGAAGGAGAAGAACCAGGGAGTGTCTGCTGGTATCTGGCCTTCTGAACGGGGCTGGCCACATAATTTGTGGGAGCTCTGGTAGCATAGTGCCTAAGGCACTTGACTGCTAACCAGAAGGCTGGTGGTTCCAACCCACCAGCCACTCCTCAGAAGGAAGATGGGGCAATCGACTTCCGTAGTGATACTGCCTCGGAAACCCAAAGAGGGGTCGCTAGGAGTCGAGTCTGACTCCACGGCACATAACAAGAACAACAACATTACAAAATGAGAACGGGGGCCCATATGCAAAAACTACCAAGAATTTCAAGTTGGAAATAGCTGAGCATTATATCAAGCACAGGGCCCTGTGTAAGGACAAATGCTTCCTAGATGTTGGGCCCTGAGGCCTGTAATTCCAATCCTAGCCTCAGCCCTGCCAGGTATCATGCCCAGCTTACAGTCAAGGTGCCAAGACTCAAGAAGGAGGTGGCCCAGTCAGCAAGCAACAGAAGTAGGCTTTGTGACCCCAAGTCTGCCAGATCCCAAAGGCCATGCCCCCTCCCACGGACTCTGAGTCTCCACAGGCTGTCAGCACCACCTCAGGAAGTCCAGTGAGGAGGCTAGCCGCTGGTGGCCTCCAGGGGTTAACGTCCTGGAGAAAGGCCTGTCCGTCACCAACAGGTCTATGATGTCTTGTCTTGGTAGAGGCACAGTCTGGAGGAGGAGGAGGAGGAGATGGTGGACGGAGAGATGGAGGGAGAGGAAGAAGGGGATGAAGAGGAGGTACCAGCCTAGAAGGTCAGCCTTCACCGGCAGCCCTGCTGACACACGTGCCTTCCCTACCCACCTCCAGGGGTGTCCTGGGATTACAGGTGGGGCCTGGGCCCCTCCCTAAAGCATCACTATGGGAAGGGGGGCTGGGGGAGCACTGGGGGCCCTGGCCTGCCCCCTCCTCCCAAATCACTGGTCCACACTGACTTACTGGAGGAGATGGGCAACCCTTGGAGGGAGGGAAAAGGCAGGGTTTCTCCCCAAGCTGCTCCCCCATCAGTCTTGACCCCAACGCCACCAGTCCCAAGGCCACTGCACCTCCCCGCCTGGCCCTGGATGTCTTCTTTGATTCCTTGACAGTCATCTTCTTTCACAGTTTGCACAGCCTCCATGGGGCTTGTCTTAGTCATGCCAGGCCTTGGAAAGACCGAGGGGGCCTTCACTTCCCCCCATAGTGGCCTCTCCCGTCCACAATCAAGGCAAAACTGAGAAGTCGAGCCACTAAGAATTTATCCGTCACAGCCACTCCCCTGTCACTTTTGCACACAGGCGTGTCAGAGCTCTGAGCACAGGTCAGAGTGATCAGTGAAATGAGCGTGGTTACTCTCAAGTGCTGTCAAGTTTCCCATTCTCTTATTCTTGTAAGATTAAATGAACAAGGCCCACAGTGTGTGCTCATTACGCAGCCTGTGTCAGATCCTTGTGTTTCCTCACATCCTTCCTATACAGCTCCTGTGCGAGCTGAGCTCATGGTAGCCTTGTTTTAAAAAACCAGCCAAACCCACTGCCGGTGAGTGAACTCAGACACACAGTGCCCCTCAAGGACAGAAAAGAACTGCCCCACAGGATTTCCAAGGCTGTCAATCTTTACGGAAGCAAAGCCCAAACCAAACCCACTGCCGTGGAGTCGATTCCAACTTACAACGCCCCTGGAGGATAGATTATAACTGTCCCTTAGGGTTTCCAAGGCTGTCAGTCTTTACAGAAGCTGACTGCCTCATCTTTCTCCCTCAGAGTGGCTGGTGGATTTGAACCATTGACCTTTAGGTTAGCAGTTGAGTGCTTAACCACGGTGCCCCCAGGGCCCTTTATCCTTACTTTGCAGGGGAGGTAACGGAGTTCCAGGTAGAGGTGCAGGGGTGTGCTTGAGGTCACTGAGCAGGTGGGGGCAGAGCAGGGAAGGAGCCCAGGCAGGCTCCCTCCTGGACCCTGCATTGCTGTTGACTGTGGGCCGGGCAGTGGGCTGCCCTGGTGTCACTTTGACTCTATAGTGACAGAACAGTGATGGGGCAGGAAGGTATCTGTTCTGGTTCCCAGTGCCGCTCTGACAAGAACATACCACCAATGGGACAGCCTTCACAAACAGGAGTTTATTCTTAAAATTTGGAGGCTTCAAGTCCAAGTTCAAAGTGCCAGGCTCTAGAGGCTACATGCAGGGTCCAAGCATGCCATAGGCTAGAGACCATTCCCAAGGCTTCTCCTTATATACAGGAAGCAGACCACATTCCAAAGGCAGCTACTCAGCTACTTGTGGCAGATCCCACCATGGAGCTGATTGCCAGTCTCATCATGGGGAATAACTACCCCCAGCTGCCCAGCCACTCAACCAGGCCCAGCCAAGGTGACACACAAACATAACCACCACAGCATCTGAGAGCCAACTCTACCAGAAGTCCCCCAACATGGATCAGTCCATGGATGTCAGGTGATCCTGACAGGGTCCTAAATGCCCTCTGAAAAATGCCTGTATAAGAACAGGGGAGGGACCAGGGCCAGCTGCCCTTCCTGTCTGTCCCAGAGTTCTCTAGAAACAAGGCTAGTGAGATACACACACACGTGGGTTTGTTGTTGTCGTGGTTGTTAGGTGCCGTCGAGTCAGCTCCAACTCGTAGCGACTCTTTGGACAACGGAACGAAACACTGCCTGGTCCTGCACCAGCCTCACAGTCCTCGCTGTGTTTAAGCCCATTGTTGGAATCACTGTGTCAGTCAATTCATTGAGGGGCTTCCTCTTTTCACTGACCGTGTGCTTCACTGAGCATCACGGGCTTCTCCAGGGCCTGGTCCCTCCTGATGGTGTGACGAAAGTAAGCGAGAGAAAGTCTTCCCTTCATCCCTTCGAAGGGGCGTCTGGCTCCTTCTTATAAGACAGATTGGTTCATTCTTCTGGCAGTCCATGGTATGTTGAGCTTTCTTCTCTAACACTATAATAATTCAAATACATCAACTCTTTGTCAGTCTTCCTTACTCATTTTTCTGGTTACTTAATGCTGCTCTGACAGGAATATACCACAAATGGGATGCTTGAACAAACAGGAGTTTATTCTCTTATAGTTCAGGAGGCTAGAAGTTTGAGTTCAAAGTGCCAGGCTCTAGGGGCTGGGTGAAAGCCCCTCAGCCTTGGGCTTCAGCTCTGCCTCCTGCTCCTAGCCCACTGAAGCTAGAGGAATCTCTTCATTCAGACAGCTGCTGACTGCTGAGGCTGACAAACACAAGGTTGACAAGTAAAAAGGCACAGTTCCGATATTACCAAACCACATGGCGGGCCATTGATTCAAGTCCACTGAAAGTCCCAAGGTCAACAGAGCATGGCAGGCTGCTGAGCAATGACACAACTACATGCAGGATTCAAGAGTGCCATAAGCTAGAGACCGTTCCCAAAGCTACTACTTATAATATGGGAAGCAGACCACATCCCTAAAGCAGTTACTCAGCTGCTTGTGGTAGGTCCCACCATGGAGCTGATTGCCAGTCTCATCATGGGGCATAACTACCACCAGCTGCCCAGCCACTCAACCAAGCCCACCTAGTTGACACAGAACCTTAACCACCACATTCATTGTCCAGCTCTCGCATGCATATGAGGCAATTGAAAAATATATGGCTTGGGTCAGGTGCACCTTAGTCTTCAAAGTGACATCTTTGCTTTTTAACACTTTAAAGAGGTCTTTTGCAGCAAATCCGCCCTATGTAATACATCATTTGATTTCCTGACACACGCATAGACAGATACATAGATAAAGGTTTACTTCAAGGAATTGGCTCACGTGATTATAGGGGTGCTGGCAAGTCCCAGAATCCATAGGTCAGGTGACAGTCTGGAGACGCCTGCAGGTTCATGTCCCCAGATCTGAGATGAGGCGGTGGGAAGGCTGCAGTGTACCATCTGTCAGAATTACTTACAGTCTATTTCCAGCATTTACTTATAGGCAGAGCACATACATCCTAGAGAAACTCCTTTTTGACTGAGTGATTAGATTCTGTTATGAAACAGCAGCTGGACTAGTGTTTGGCCAGACGGCTGGGAACCAGCCAAGTTGACACAGAACATCAACCATCACAGAACCCGAAGGGGAAAGAACTGAGTAAACCTTGAGAGGACAGTACCTACAGGTCACGCGTGTTGGGTGCTTGCTCCGGGCCCCGCACTCTGGGCTTCATTTTCACAGTGACCCCAGGGATGAGATCTCTCCCTTCATCCTCGTGTTACAGGTAAGGCAGGTGAGGCACTGGGAGAAGAAGCAGTATGTCCAAGTGCAAGGGGCTTGAGGGGCACAGCGGCGACCTCAGTGCCAGCCTGGGCTCTAGAGCTCACGACCATATATGCTGCTCTCCCAGGTCTCCTGCCCCTCTGGGCCATGGGCAGAGGGCACTTGCGTCCCGCTCTGCAAACTCTCCAAAACCAGTTGCCCTGCATGCGATTCTGAGTCATGGTGACCCCTGTATGTCCCTATAGAATTGCACTCCATTGGGTTTTCAGTGGCTGCATTGTTGGAAGTAAATCACTGGGCTGGCCTTTCTTCCAAGACACCTATGGGTGGACCCAAGCCTCCAACATTCGTGCTAGCAGCTGTCTGTGTTAACCGTTTGCACCGCAGGGACCCCGTCCTGTGACAGACCCCTCACTGTGGAGGATGCAGGGAAGGGGGTTCTGGTACTGCTCCTGAAGCAGTGACTTTGCCCTCGGGGGGCATTTGGTAATCTCTGGAGACGATTTGGGCTGACACGCCTGTGGGGGAAGCTGGTGGCTTCTAGTGGGGAGAGGCTAGGGAGGCTGCTCGGCATCATAGCAGATACAAGGCAGCCCCCACTGCACGAGTTCTGCTGTCCAAGCAGTGAGCAGGCAAAAGGACAACTCCTGGACGGTCCCATCACATAAACAGTCTAAAATAGGCAAATGGCTGGAGACAAAAGGTGACTAGTGGTACCAGGGGCTGGGAGAACAGGCAGTTGTTGCTTGAGGGGCACTGAGATTCCATTGGGGGGGGATGAAAACATTTGGAAATGGACGGTGATGGTGGCACAACAGTGAATGTAATAATGTAATAACGTCACTCAATAGTCCACTTATAGTTATGGTGGAGATTTTATTTTACAGAGTTTACCACAATAATAGGAGCCCTGGTAGCGTAGTGCTTAAGGCACTTGACTGCTAATCAGAAGGCTGGCTGTTCAAACCCACCAGCCACTCCTCGGACAGAAGGTTGGGCGATCTACTGCCTCGGAAACCCAAGGAGGGATCACTATGAGGCGGGGCCAAATCAATGGCACATAACAACAATAACAATAACCACAATAATATTTCTTTTAAGTCAGTAGAGCCCAGGCTGCGTTAGGGAGGAATATCCCTCTCAGTGAAACACCCGAGAGAAGGCCCGGAAAGTCCAGGCTCTGTATGGCATTGACACGGGCACGTGGCTGGACCTGGTGAGATCTGGGCTGATAAGACTCAAGGGACGACATTCTTTTTTTTTTTTAATTTTTATTGTGATTTGGGTGAAAGTTTATAGAGCAAATTCATTTTCTATGTAGCTGTTCATGCACATTTGTCTCATGACATTGACTGCAGTCCCCACAGCGTAACAGCTCTTCCCGCTTCCTCCCTGCCGTCACCTCTTCCCTGAGTCCTTCTTTCCCGTCCTTCTTGCCCCCTGAGCTGTCTCCTTGTGCAAATACCGCCCTTCTGTTCTCCCACGATTGCTCGTTCTAAGGAGTGTATCAACTGACGTAAATGTTCACCCTGTA